TATTTCATGGTCTGAAGTCAGAAGATGCCAAGAAACATGTTGAACAGTTCCGAGAAGCAATCCAAATCAACAGCCAGACGACTGAACTTCCATACTATTTCTGATGTACCCTTTCGAAAGAGAGCTAACAAATGGGCTCAAACGCTTCCTCAAAATACAAGTTTCAACGACCTCGCACTCAAGCTCGTAGACCAATTCAAGTCTTCCCTCACTCAATCACAAGATCCAAAAACTCAAGTAGAAGTCTGGTCAATCCATCAACAACTACACTCAAACCTTCACTCAACATGCTAGCAAATGAGGCAACAGTGCCACCGAAACATTACTTTACCAATGGTACATGCAAGGACTCCAACGATCCCTCTGAGAAGCGGCAATGCACATCAACGTTGCCACTTATCTCGAACTCACAAGAGCCCATCAAGATGTTCAAGCTCGACGAATGAAAGCACAAGTAGATGACACAAATAACTCAGATTCTGATAGCAGTTCTGACAACAACTCCGAGATGAACTCGGAGAGAGCACCAAGTCAAAACTTCGGAAACTCAAGAAAAAAATCGACAAGCTCAAGGGAAAAGCCAAGGCCGACATCAAAGAATTTCGATCTAGAATTTGGTGTACTAAGTGCAAGAACGAAGGACATCTGGCAAGTGACTACAAGCTCCAAATCTCCAAATGCCAGATCTGTACCAAAGAAGGTCATGACGCCAAAACTTGCAGATTTTGAAATTCTCCAGAAGTTTGACAAGTCTCGAACTATCCCCGACAGCAATTTCAAAAACCATATCCAAATCAATACTTCAACAATTACCAGCCACCACCTCTGACAAACTGGAGACAGCTGAGAAACAACTTCCAACACCAGAGTCGACAATGGAATGATCAACCTCGCTACAACAATTACAACAATTACAACAACAACTACAACAACAACTACAACGATCAACAACACCCGCCGAACTAGAACTACCCAGCAAACCGAGACAACTACAACCAAGGATACCAACAATACCCAAGATACTAAAACCGAAGATACCAAGGCCAAGG